GGAATGCCTAAGGTGGAATATCTTGGACATAAGGTCTCCCACAATGGCCTGGAGGCGAACCCGAAAAATCTGTCGGCGCTGACGGATCTAGCATTTCCTGGATCCCTTTGAGCCATGCAGTCATTCTTAGGAAGTCTGAACTACTATAGTCAATTTATTGAAGACTACGCGATCTATGCATCAGTTCTGTATGAATTGCGAGAACTTGAGTTTGTTGCGATGTCAAAGGAGGCTACCCAAGCGCGGATCCAACAAGTACTGGAAGTGGACGACGCAGATCAAGGATCGCAGAGAGATCGGGGTGGCAACCACCGAAAGGCCTTGGATCTGGAGGCGCCCGACCCTATTGAGGTGGATCCGCGTTGGATCCATGCCCATCGGTCCTTCAACGTGCTTAAAACCAGGATTGCTACCCCCCGATCTTACGACACTTTGACCCAGATCGAAAGCCACAGTGGTGGTGTACGCTAGCGACTGGGCCATCTCGGGAGCCTTGATGCAAGAATACGACCGGATCTACTACCCCGTGACGTTTGCAAGCTGTACTCTGAAGTCGAATGAGCTAAACTATCATTTGTTAATTATCTCACTGGCAGATAGGACACGCCTGTCTGCCTGGTAGCGAGAGGAGGGCGGTTAGCGCCCTCCCGTACAAATCCATTCAACACTCCCATTAAGTACTAGGGTATATTTCTAGATCGCAAACCCCTAGCTTCTCTCTTCGTTTAAGAAATTGCTTGGTAGGCAGAGCTTTAGTCAGTATAACCAAGAGGTGAGTGAAGGCCTCACTCACATCGAATGCATCTCACTTCATCTTCTACACTTTTGATCACACGCCGCTCCTAAACAACAGGTTATGAGCCCAACCAATGAACAAGACTCTGCTTCACTTCCCGCCACAGCAGCCAACCAAGCCCCCATTGATGTTGCGGAAGGTGGCGCTGGAGGTCAAGGTGTGCCGCCGGCTCCAGGATCCGGTCGTGATGCTGCTGGAGGAACGAGTGAGAGGCTACACCGGCTGGAAGGCCTTCTAGAGGACCTAACACGCGATCTTGCTGTACGAAACCCTTCAAAGAGGGCCCATGAAAGGCACCAGGTCTCGATACTGTGGCGAAGCGGAATCCGTGAAAACTTTGTGATCGCGGTTCCCGATACCACTTGCGCCCGGACACCGACTAACGAAGGGGGTCCTCCGATGATCCGTGATCTGGTTGTGTCTTGCTCACCTGACGGCGGGCGGGTTACGCTCTCCTGGGTGACTCGTTCGATTTGTATCCGATGTGGGCAGAACGCAGGGGTTGGAGATAGCGCGGGACTTCTTCGCTCTACCTCGATCTAAGTTGATCTCGATCGCTGACGGGTCCTTGAGTCACGATCGAGCTGCCTGGTTGTTGATCCAGGTCTTAGAGTGGGCCAATTACGGAGATCTTGCTCCTTCCTTGATGTGCTTGCCGCTACCAATAGCGGGGAACTTACTGGGTCGAGATCCGATGTAACCGTCAGGCCAAGCAAGCAATGCCTTCCGGGTAACAATTAACACTTGAGAACAAGTCACTAGGTGGGCAAAGCTGGCCAATATATTATCCAGTCTTAACCGCTACGCTAGT